TACAGTGTCTTGCGAAAGTATTCAGCCCCTTGAACCTTTCAACATTTCGCCACATTTCAGGCTTCAAACATAAAGATATAAAATGTACATTTTTTGTCAAGAATCTACAACAAGTGGGACACAATCGTGAAGTGGAACGGAATTTATTGGATAATTTAAACTTTTTTAACAAATAAAAAACTGAAAAGTGGGGCGTGCAATATTATTCGGCCCCCTTGCGCTAATACTTTGTAGCGCCACCTTTTGCTGCAATTACAGCTGCAAGTCGCTTGGGGTATGTCTCTATCAGTTTTGCACATCGAGAGACTGGAATTCTTGCCCATTCTTCCTTGCAAAACAGCTCGAGCTCAGTGAGGTTGGATGGAGAGCGTTTGTGAACAGCAGTCTTCAGCTCTTTCCACAGATTCTCGATTGGATTCAGGTCTGGACTTTGACTTGGCCATTCTAACACCTGGATACGTCTATTTGTGAACCATTCCATTGTAGATTTGGCTTTATGTTTTGGATCATTGTCCTGTTGGAAGATAAATCTCCGTCCCAGTCTCAGGTCTTTTGCAGACTCCAACAGGTTTTCTTCCAGAATGGTCCTGTATTTGGCTCCATCCATCTTCCCTGTCCCTGCTGAAGAAAAGCAGGCCCAAACCATGATGCTGCCATCACCATGTTTGACAGTGGGGATGGTGTGTTCAGGGTGATGAGCTGTGTTGCTTTTACGCCAAACATATCGTTTTGCATTGTGGCCAAAAAGTTCGATTTTGGTTTCATCTGACCAGAACACCTTCTTCCACATGTTTGGTGTGTCTCCCAGGTGGCTTGTGGCAAACTTTAAACGAGACTTTTTATGGATATCTTTGAGAAATGGCTTTCTTCTTACCACTCTTCCATAAAGGCCAGATTTGTGCAGTGCACGACTGATTGTTGTCCTATGGACAGACTCTCCCACCTCAGCTGTAGTTATCTGCAGTTCATCCAGAGTGATCATGGGCCTCTTGGCTGCATTTCTGATCAGTCTTCTCCTTGTTTGAGATTAAAGTTTTGAGGGACGGCCGGGTCTTGGTAGATTTGTAGTGGTCTGATACTCCTTCCATTTCAATATAATTGCTTGCACAGTGCTCCTTGAGATGTTTAAAGCTTGGGAAATCTTTGTGTATCCAAATCCGGCTTTAAACTTCTCCACAACAGTATCTCGGACCTGCCTGGTGTGTTCCTTTGTCTTCATGGTTCTCTCTGCGCTTTAAACAGAACCCTGAGACTATCAAAGAGCAGGTGCATTTATACGGAGACTTGATTACACACAGGTGCATTCTATTTATCATCATCAGTCATTTAGGACAACATTGGATCATTCAAAGATCCTCACTGAACTTCTGGACTGAGTTTGCTGCACTGAAAGTAAAGGGGCCGAATAATATTGCACGCCCCACTTTTTAGTTTTTTATTTGTTAAAAAAGTTTAAATTATCCAATAAATTTTGTTCCACTTCACGATTGTGTCCCACTTGTTGTTGATTCATGACAAAGAATACAATTTTTATATCTTTATGTTTGAAGCCTGAAATGTGGCGAAATGTTGAAAGGTTCAAGGGGGCCGAATACTTTCGCAAGGCACTGTAGATGGATGGTTTCAAAGTTAAGTACTCCAGCTCTAATTGCACAACTTCTTGACAGTCTAGCTTTGTGTTACATTAGAACAAGTAATGGGAAGTGTGTTGTGTAGTTTGACAACACAGTGGCTGAGTGGATATAGCACTCTTGCTTCTCAGTAAAAAACTGAGTAAAAAAGCATGCAAACATCTCAGTTTGCATGTTTTCCCCGTGTCTGCACAGGTTTCCTCTGGGTGCTCCAGTTTTACCACCCACTAAAAACATGTACAAATAGGTCTGAGAGAATGAATGGTGTTGGTTTGGGAGCTTTTATGCACTAGGGCGTACGGCATCACAGAGTGGAGAGAATGGAACAATATCTAAAATCTGAACATTGTAAAGCGCTATGGGTGACCTTGGTCTGTAAAATGCGTTATATAAATAAACATTACTTAGGCTTTTCATTCTAAAGTCGTTTGATTTGAATATCATTTCTATTTTTTCTGAGCAATTCCAAAATTAGTAGAGCGATAATAGCAATGAATTATTATATTTTAAAACAGCTCTAGGCTTTTTTTCTTCTTAACTACACACAAAGTAGAGTCATGAGGCAAGTCTCCAAACTCCCCGGACCTGTTCGGTAACATTCATAGGATAACAGTTGCACGACATGGTGTAAAAGTGCACAAACTAGTCCAGACACCACTTCATTAGACAGCCACCATTTTATTTCTGATATTATCATAGCTATATGTAACAACAGCATCAACTACAGAATAATACAATGAAGAATTCAATGTTTTTCTCTTTCTGCAGTTCAATTTTTTGGTCCAGTAACTTTTTTTTTCTTGTTTTGTTTAATCAACTGTCTTTCCAACATTGTACAGCACATGCACATCATTCAACTTTATACAACATAACACCAGTCGAACACAATCTCCATTTTCCTTACTTTATTCTCACCCATACATTACTAATCATGGTTACAAGGCTAAGAGACTATACAGCTATATGCACCTCAAAAAAATCACTCATCTGGTCTACAGAAGGGGGGGAAAAAAGAGCACCATATTTACATCAATATTTACATTTGGTGTAAATACAAAACAAGATTAAAGTAACAAATCAGAAAAACGGAGGAGAAAACTAGTTGACACAGACACAGCTTTTCTTTTTCAGGTCCGTCCAATTTGGATGAATGTCAAACAAACTGTACACGTAGCTGCAAACACTTAGCTTATTGCCAATGCCCATAAGAGTGAGAGTCTGGGTTTGAAGACGGGCTGTGCACAGAATTGACATGGGACAAACACGAAAAAGACTTAACCCGCGACTGGATGGTAGTCGTGGCCCTGCTGCTAACCCTAAAAAAATAAATAAAATGCTGCCAAAAGATAGACAATTTAGAGCACGGGTGTCAAAGCAGTTCTCAAATGAGCCTGTGTGAGCTGTAGGTTTTAATTCCAACCAAGCAGGAGCACAGCAGACTCCTCCCATTTCCTCAGCGCGTCAGCTTAAGACTGGACTCGCTTGAGAATATTCAACTTGAGTGAAATGTATGTATTTCTCTCTGTTGTTCAGAATAACAGTCATAAAGGAGCGCGGATTGAGATGTCTGCGGCACTTGGAACAGTCTTCCTGAAAGTGTGAGACAGGCTTCCTTCTCTGACAATGTTCAAATCAAGGCTAAAAACTGTTCCGTTTAGCGGTGCATACAACTGAGGGATTGTAACTTTGTATTTATCATTTTAATGCACGGTAACTATGATCATAACGGCTTTTTTTGACCGTCTCCATCTTGTTTTGTTAAGCACTTGTCTATGACTTGTTCTATACAGATAAACTTGACTTGCCACTTCTTGATGTCTATTCATCAAACTGTATTCATCCCCTCTGTGGGACTAATAAAGGCCTTTTTTTAATTCAAATGGGTGGGGTCTGGTGGCCTTGGTTGGAATGAAAACCTGCAGCCACACCGGCCCTTTCTGGAACAAGTCTGACACTCCTTGTTTTAGCTTTTGTTAGAGCATTTTTTGGGTGGAAACAAAAGTGCAAATCAAATAAAGGAAAATGCATATAGACGTAAAGACGTATACTTTAATTTATGTTCAGTTCAACACTCCATAAACGTGCTTTCCTTTCAATACTATCAAACTACATGGTAGCTATTATATTTTCAAGTTTCTCAAGTGTTAAACTTTGTCATCGTTACAACAAGGGTCAATGGCTTTTACATTCAACTCTTTTAAATAATGGGACCAAACCATAATCAGACTCTTGGTCGTATGCTAGCCGCTAGTATTTTGAATTAAGATTTCCCACAATGGAAATAGAGTTTTAAAACATCCCAATACATTAGATTATTTATTGCTCCACACAGCCCCCTGTTGCCAAACCCTGACTCCCACAGTAAAGATTTCCTCTGATTTGTTCTTTCTCTCGGCTCGTAAAGCTGCTCAGACTCGCCCTGACTCCAGCCGGAGAGATTCACTCAGGCCCCTCTTGGTTCAGCATCAAAATCAACACACAAAATGTACAAGTTTAAAAAATAAAACATTTTTTATAGCGTATATACAAACTGGACACATATCGACACACCATAACGACATATAAAATAACACGTAAGTCTGCAGAAGCCGGTAAAAGTCAAAATAGAGCCACAACTCAAAAACAACAAAAAGGTACAAACGGACACATTGCAGTTTTGTGTTGTTGCTACAGTACAACTTCACACAGAAGAGCAGCTCGTTTCTAAAGCAACATTTTAAAGGGGTAGTGTGACCATGTGAGCAGATAGACGAGAACAATAAAAACAGATTGTCTGAGTGCCGTGTGAAAACAGGCATTGTCGAATAAAGGTTAAACTAGAACCTGCTCAGTGATCACAGAGAACCCAGTCCTGCTGCACACACTGGGAGGTGTAGAGCCGCCTGCTGCAGTCTGCACAAAGTCTAACAGTGAGAGAGTGATGGAGTAGTAGGACACGCAGCTTAATAAAACTGTATCTTACATGTTAAAAGCCAAATGTAATTGAGTGAGAACCAGCTGGCTCCAACAGACACCAGTTTGGCATGTTTAAACTTCATTAGCCAGATGATAATGTAAATACCAATAAACATTATGCACCCAGCAGGAGAATACTTTGGCAACAAAATACACTTCAGCACAAAATCTGTTTATTATCCTTTGATTGAAGACTTCTGATCTCCAAGTGCAAATATTAAATTGTCTTAAAATTAAGACCAATCCTAATAACATTCCTTAAAATGGAACAAAACTCATCGAAATTCATCAAAATTCACAGTGAACTATTACTCCATCACTGAAAAGTAGGTCATTAAAACCTGAATATAAATAATAAAGTTAAAGATAAAATGAGTTCTTACACAGTACAACAGGCAGTCCCTGGAGCAGGCGTCATATGACCTGGCAGCAGGAGGCCGGGCCTGAGGTACAGAGCAGGCCATCTCTGGGCCCGTGCTGGATGTTCACAGAGATGGTCTTTTCGCACAGAGGTAGTTGCAGGACCCCGTTCTTGAGGGCAGGGGTGCTGTGAGTGTGTGGCCTGCGGGGGGCGCTGTGGTGACAGGAGGCTGCAGTGGTGGGGAGTGTGATGGTGTCCAGACTTCCTGTGGAGCCAAAGCACATCCTCCAGGCCGAGCGCTCCTTGATGATGTTCTGAGCCTCCGTGACGCCTCTGTGGCTCCGCCCCCTCTGCAGCTGCGAGCTCAAACACAGACTCATGAGCTTCAGACTCTCCATCACAGACCCCCGAGACCCCCGCAGCACAGTGGGGGCGGGGCTTGAGAAGCTGCTGTTGTTGCAGCAGGACGACGGGCTGTGCTGTCCTTTACTGCCCCCTGCTGGCCCTCCTCCTCCTGTCCCACTGTCCCCGCCTCCTCCTCCAGGACTCCCCCCTGTGTCTGAACTCCCCCCTCCCTCACCAGAAGGCCCTCCAGACCCACTGCCCCCAGAGCCCCCCTGGCTGCCCGGGGGTCCCTCGCTGCTGTCTCGCCTGTTCCAGCCCAAACCAGAGTCTTTGTCCAGCCTGCGCCTGTGGCTCTCCGAGTCGTCGTCACTGGTCTCAGAGCTGGAGCAGGAGGAGCCGCGCCCCTGGCTTTTCCTCCTGTGGTAACGCTTCTGAGGGGCTCCTGGAGACCCCTGTCCCACTGCAGGGCCAGACCCAGGGGACATGTTCATCCGGAGCCGGCTGAGTTTAGGAGGCAGACCTTCATCCATGTCAAAGTCATCATCAGATTCTCCCTCCTCCTCAAAGATCTGGTTGAGCACAGGAGCACTCTTTCTGGAGGTCAGTCTGTTGGTGATGGAGGGGGGCTTCCTCCTGAGGACCACCTGAGAGGGCAACGGAGTGGGATCATCTTCCTCCTCCTCGTCCTCCTCCACCCTGAAAGGACAATACACATTAGTCAAGCATTTGCTTTAAACATGAAGTTCTGAAATAGTCATGAATTGGATTAGCCTGTACCTGAAGAGGCAGGCTCTCTGTTTAGAGGACGTAGATGACGTAGATGGGGCAGGGGCCCTCAGGGACCCTAGACCAGGGGCAGGAGGAGCAGTGGCTCCCTGAAAACAGATCAGAAAATATTAAAGCCTCAAGCATCAGACAAACAGGGGTAAGAAGATTCCCACAGCGGTCAGTACCTGCCCCACAGAGTCTGTGGTGTCCTCTCTCCGTCCCAGCTCCAACAGGCCTTTGGAGCGGTGTCCGTTGAGCAGATTTTCAGCACTGCGAGCCGGAGACTGAGGACCTCCCCCATGAGAGATGGAGGACGCTGCTAAACTGACCTCAATGTCCTGGTGCATGTCCACTCGTGTCGGCCACGACTGTCTGTGGGACACAAGAAACCTGCATTAACTGATTGGTTTCATCTAAAGATAAACAAAATCCTGGAAATTATTTTCTTTGGTTGTAATATTCAAGGTTATCAAACTTGATCATTAGCTTGGGCCCACAGCACACAGATACAGATGTTCCCCGTTTTTATAGATAGTGAATAAACTTCTGAAGCAGTAGCATGAGTCTTGACCAGAGCCTTCACAGTTCTGCTCAGAGTGGAGTTTGCGAAGCTCACTGTGGGGAATGTGTCAGGCATCATGAAGCCCTACATCACTCCTCTCCAGCTCGGCTCCAGCTCGGCTCCAGCTCAGAGAGAGATGCAGAGGAGCAGACAGGAGCTGACACTTCACAGAACAGCGAGGCTTAGAGTCTGTGCCGGATATGCGAATTAAATAATGTCACTGCAAATCATGTAACGCGGAAGAGAATAGCCTCGAAGCAAAACGAGGCTAACCTCAGACCATAACAACCGAAATAGCACAAAACTTGACACGCTTCCCACAGAAAATCCCACACATTGTTGCAGACCCAGACACACAAACTATTATCATTATTTGGTTTATCTTTGATCTTTACTCCGCCATGGGACAACAACAATAAAGGGTTATTAGTGCAACACTTCAAAATCTCTTTAAATACATGACATAGATTTTAAAGACTCCTCATAAGCTCAGACAGACTCTACTTTGTGTTAAGTCCACTTCCTGATAAAGTGGAACAATCTCAGGAAGGAAGCTTTATGTTTCGGCTCCAGAGGGAGCAACAACAGGGAAAAGCAGAAAAGGTAAAAGCATCACATATTTAAATTGTTTTACTGTGTATTTTGGAACAATGCAGTATAATGTAAGTAAGTCATCTTTAGATTTATAGCGTGCTTCACAGACCAAGGTCATACAAAGCGTTTTACAATTGTTTCATTCATTTTGCATTCGCTCCACAAAGAATGATGGCAGAAGCATGTAGAACCATCACCATCTGTTCTCTCACGCATTACATTACTTTCAAAACTATAAAAAGTTTCTAAGATAAGCTATTATGAGCTTTATGCAAGGGAAAACTTTAATACCACTGTAAACGAACAACTGGAAGCGAACGACTGTAAACAAACTTATATTAGTATATCTATCTATTAGTTTTCTTTCCTGATGCAATTAGACTGTTAGAGGTATAACAAAAAGGACTGTGGTGATGATCCAGGACACTCGACAGCATTTATGGACATTTATCAACATTATGGACCAATACCTATGTGTTCTATATTTTTTAGTTTAATTCTCTGATCTGTGTTGGTGATTTCAACGGTTTTGTTAAGTCCTCTGAGATAACTAATGTTGGTATTTAGATCTATACAAGAATACATTGAATTGAATATCTACTAAGGTTTTAAATTGAACAACAACAATTCTTGACCGTCATATAAATAAGATGGAACGCTATGGCGCGAGGGGATGGACAAAAAGATGACTAGAGAAATCCAGGTAAAATACTATCCATAGAGCGTATATTAGGAGTGGACTGAGTGCTGGCATCACCAATAGTGTTTGACAAATGTGAAAGAACCCGATTTGAACATAAGCTAGCTGGAGCCAATTTCCTTATATGGGCATTTATTCCGATGGCGGTGCAGACTTTAGCTAAAAAGGTTGCTATGGTAAGTAGGAGTTTCCCGCACAAATGAAAACCTCTGATTTGCCAATGCTTATGACTCATATCTGGATGGACAAAGACAATATCAAACTATAAACACCAGAATAATTGAAAGCACAAACGATTTTTAAAGCCCAAAATGGTGAGTGTGACACAAAAAAGTTTACAGAGTTTACCGAGTCTATTCAATGTGAATCAATAAGAGCCAGAGCAAGTTGGAGCAAAACTTTGTCCATGACCACTTCTCTATTGAGCTTCATTGAGCAATTGGGTTAGCCTTCTCCATCCATACACAATCAATGAGTCGTTCACTATAGGAGGATCTTGGAGTGACGTCGTTGTTTATAGTTTTTCTGCGCCGGTCATGTGACCTACCTGGATGTTAGAGAGTTAGCTATTTTTTGACGTTTGGAGAGAGGTTTTACTAAATCAAATGGTCCATTCTTGTTGTGTTGTCGGTTGTACGGCCCGTAAAGTGGTAGACCTCTTATGTTCTTACCTACAGTAAATGTAGAATGGGAAGCCGAGGGGGATGAGGGGATAAAAATGCATTAAAAAAATTTAAGTTTTGCAACTACTTTCACTGCGGACTTGTTCACTCATTCATTAATGAATGATGATTCATTTTAAATATTGCATTTTGGTTGCTCATCCCTGCGGCTTCCTGTTCTAACTTTACGTATAAGTAACAGCAAAAAGGGGAAACCCGCTTTTATTGTGAGGACCACTTTACTGCGACGGCGAAATGCCGGGCCACTTTACTGCAAAGAAGGGTCCCGGGTTTTCTATGAAGATGTCTCCAAGTCCCAGTCCCAGCAGATCGGTGCCAAGACAGAGGTGAGTCTGACCAATGTTTGTCGTCCTCCCAGGTCTCATATGGGCTTTGAATTTGTTCAGTTTTTAGCTTGTCGTTATATCTCCTCTGATCGTCTTGCGTTAAAATGCTTGTATACAGTACTATTCGCCCACAGAGTCTTTTAAAAGTACTTGTCGCATTCATGCCTCAGTATGTGCCGCTCAATCTTTTTGCCACCCAGCGAGGGGCGCATGCGCACGTGGGTGTAAACAAAGATCCTCCTATAATCAAACCATAGGGATTCGTGAGAGTGTGTGGCAAACAAGTGAGGGAGGACTAGGCCACAAATGCAAATGAAAGCTTTGCAGTTCCGTCCCAGCTGTAGTCTGTTCTCTGCTGTGCATCATTACAATCTTCTTGGTTCATCATTATGGGATGTGAACTGGTATTAACTCTGATCATCAACCAGCACCACACGACTTACCCAGCTGCACACTGGGAAAGCCATGTTTTCCAAATGATTTTGATGCTATTTTCTCCCATTAAGAAGCGATGGAGAGCTTAATGAGCTTTGTTGTGAGAGGGACCTGGACTTGACTTTGCGGCCACTGGGAACTCGCTGCATAAGGTTGCCTTGATTGTGTGTGAAGAAAAAAGCTGAATTGAGACCAGTGATCTTGAATTTAGATCAGTGGTTTCCAACTAGAACAGATTAGGGACCCACCAACATCAGACAATGCAAAATAATAGGAACCGAATATGTAAATACTGTTTATCTTCACAATGGGTTGTTGTATAAGCATTTATGAATATTAGAACAATCAATCAATAAAAAATAAAAATACATACATTTACACAAGTAATCTGCTTATGTGGCTAGTTCTGCATTTTATTTCAAGAAAATTAAGTAACCCAATTTTCAGTGGATTTGGATGTTATTTTCTGCTTTGTTCATTTTAAGTTCAAACGCATGTATTATAGCCAGTCAAACATTTGTATCTCCAATCTCATCTTTTCGGGCATTACCCAAAACTCAAGACCAAAGGTGTGGGCTGGAACTTAGATTGGTGGGTAAAACGAGAGCTTTGCTTTCGGCCCTGAGATACTTGAACCCCTCCACTTCTGGAAGGACCTCTCCACACACAAACACATTTCGTAATATATCTTTCTTATAATCAAGGATATTTTGTTGCAGTACAGTAGACACCCACTTAAAGCTCACTGATTCAGTTTCATATCATTATAGTTACTTTACTTGTAACTTTCTCAGACCAATATGACTGGTAAAAATAACCACGTCAGCCAGACAGGAGGGAACACCATTTCTCAGGATTCCATCTTAATTCTGCTTTTACCTGAAGTGGGCTTTGAGGTTGCTGGGACTGGAAGATCTCGGCTGGACCTCTTTTTCTTGCTTCTCTCTCAGGATTCGCTCGGCCAGCAGGTAGTACGTGGCTGTAATGTGGTTGTACTTGTTGGTCTCGAGAGCCCTGGAGAATACATATCAATAAAATCATTTAACAATGGAGCAGGAGGAAATCTTATAAAATTTAGTTACATTACATTAATCCAAAAATCTAAAACAAATGAGCTGTCCTCATAAGCAAACAATTACAGATTCTAAAACAAGTCAGAAGGCGAGGATTCGTGGCTGTTTGAGGCCAGGTGCTCTTCAAGGACTAGGCCAAAATAATTTCAACATTATTAGGTTGAGTGTAAGTGCCAAAATAAAAAAAAATAAAAACAGAAAATCTTACAACATTGAACACCTGCATTGAGTTGCATATTTTCTGCAAATATATAAAAAAAAACTATCTTCTAAAACTTCATAGGAGAAAGGTTTCGGCAAAGTCTATGTAGGTTCAATTCCCAAGTAGGATTCATTAGTCTAATCTGCAACCACGAGGGAGCTTGTCAGGTACGGATAGATGGTTTTCCCAACGCAGCTCCAGACTTCACCATTTGACAGCTGTGCATTGTATTATTGCGATCTATTCATATTTTCACTTTCATATTCTGCTTGATTTATGCTCACATCATACAACAGCAGAAAATGGGAACGTGCATTTATGTTCCCATATGAGTTTGCCTCGGCGTTCTCATTTTGGGTCTGATTTGGACATCCTGGGTATATTGAATCCTTATTAGAAATGTGATTCTGTGAGTTTATTAAAAGAAAATACAGTTAACCCTTTAGGCACCGTTTTTTTTAAAGAAATTGTATGTAAAACTGAAAAAAGTTGCATTCTCTTAAAGGGGATATGTAAGCGAAAAGGGTTCATATTTCAATCAGTTTCATTTTGTAGCTCCATAATTATCAAAGAAATGTATAATAACAGCTAAATCAAGTCATGGGTGAATAAAATAAAAAATACTATACTTGATGTAATGTATATTATTTTTTCTTAGAAGTATATTTTTTGCAAGCATTTCACACAGTCTCAGAACTAAAGAGTTGGAAACTGGCATATTTACAGTAATGTTCATTAATGTGTAATGTCCCTATTAAAAAATAAACAAAAAAGCAACTTTAGACTATGCGTTTACAAATTATATAATATATTCACATAAAAAAGGATGACTGCAGCTATAATAATGATTAAATAGCAATAAACTTTTACTGTGTCAATTAGAAAAGTGAATGATTTAAGGGTCCTCTAGATAAAAGTCAACGTCTTACTAGATAAAAAAAAAAGTAGAAATGTTGAACACGCCGTCATAAAACAGCAATTAGAGTTTGATACCAGTGTAATTATGAAGCAGTAGCAGTGCGGCCAAAGTAAATATTGAAAGAGTGCTTCGTTTCACCGGTGTTGGCTAAACCTTCCCCTGACTTAATTGAATTATTGTATTAGTTTCTAACAATGTCTTCACTCGTCTTCATTCTTGGATTAATGTTCCGCTGAAGTCAATTTCCACAGTCTCTCCACCACCTCCTCTTTGAGTTTTCTTTCACCAAAATCTGTCAAAATTAGAGTCACAATGATTTGGTGGAGGAACAACAAAAGGTGTTAATGGAAAATTGTCAACGCCTAAGTCCTGTTTTTGTATGAGACAAGAAGCGAACAGATAAAGTGAGAACGCAGGAGCACGGAACAAGTGTAAACATGAAGCTGTTCCCAAATCCTCTCGGTGAGAAACGGCTCAGCGTTTGTCTCCTGGAGCAAAAGGGAAAGGCACGTAGCTCCCAAAGTCAATGTTTGCACACATCTACTAAGCTTGTATTTCTTCTTGTAAGAAGAGTACACATTCTCATAGTCCAGTGTGTGCGTAAGTACGAAAGTCTAGTGTGTGTGTGTGTGTGTGTGTGTGTGTGTGTGTGTGTGTGTGAGACAGTCCATTAGTCCAGTCTATGTGAAAGTCCGATACTCCAGTGTCAAAGTGTGAAAGTCCGATACTCCAGTGTGTGTGAAAGTGGAATCTGTGACATTGAGTGTGTTTTGAGAGTTCTGAAAAGAGCTACATTAGGGGTATACAATACTAATTATGGCACCATCTGCAGCATGTGAAAGTCTGATCTCAGAAGATAAGCAGGGCCTGGTTAGTACTGTGATGGGAGACCTCTGGGAACACCCGGTGGGGCACAAAGTAAGGCTGCGAGGCTGAGGCTGTAAAGTGCCTAACTGTCATTGTGTCTTTAGGCAAGACACTTGGCTAGAGTGTGTTCTACAATAGTAGTTTACCACCACTGTCTACAGAGTGAATGAAGAATGCTAGACATATAAAAACATATTATAATAACTTTGAGCATACATATTGTAATGTTTGCGATATTTGTACAATTGAGGAAGTGTAACTGTATTGATTTTAATATGGAATAGAACCCTAGGTAAAAGGAATACATTTGTTGACCGCACAGTACTATCTTCATAGCCACGAGCAAGTAAGGATGCTAGCCTTTTATCCTTTTTTAACTTTATTGAGGCCTTTCCATTTGAGCCAAATGTCCAGTTCAAAAACAAAAACATCAATATTGGCGTATTGTTGGCTCCAATGTCTCATATCTCCCACATAACCACCATTACTGCAGTTTTATTAAGACAAACAAGACAAACCAACATGCCATACACAAACAAAGACATCACAAATGCGTATCTGGCCGATGTGAAGTGGTTCCAGTGTAATCACAGTAATTGCATGTGGATGTATTCAGGCTGTTAGTCCGGTTTGTCTCATTAATGTGTGTGGGTGGACGCTGTGTTCGTATGAATTACTGCATTATCTCTCGCTCGCTGCTCTTCAGATGGCTCAGTGCTGTGAATATTGTGTGTTGATGCTGTAATTACTAAACAGGAAATGAAATGTTGCGTTGCGTCGCTGTCCCCCTTTCTCTAACCGAGCCTGCTTGATGAGAAGGTAATAGTTAAAATGAAAAAAGGTCTGCATAGTCATAGATAAAATGAATATTGACAAAATCATGCTACAGAAAAGGCACTGCTGGCCATTGTTTTTGTCCATTGCTATGTGAAAATAAATGCCTGATGGAAAGCATTCTCTCATGGTCATATAAAAAACAATATATGAGAAAACTTTGTATTCAAAGCTCAAATAACTTGATTACCGGGATCACTACTCTGTATTACAGTTCAAATTACAATTAGAAAATTCAATCATTTTATCATTTCAAACCCTTTTTTGTGTGACTCAAGCATGAGTATGCAATTGTTTTTTGTTTCATAAACATGCTGGTTGTCCCAACAGAAAGTGTCTCGCTTATGTAACATTTTGTGAACAAATCAAAACAAAACACATGATCTTTTTCATACTGGAAGTGAGGGTGGTCCTCTCTGTGTGACAGAGACCAGAAATACATGCTTGTGAAATCTAAACAGTTTTGAAGAAGAACTGGCTTCACGGATTGAATTAATTTCTATGTCGTTTACATAAAAAGTAAGTTACAAGCACCAGCATTGATTTCCGTTTTACAAATCGGTGGTACTCTATTTCAGACTTGATAACCTTTGTACAGTAAGTTCAAAGCATAGCATTAATATAATATATTGATTTATGTGTGGTATTTTACAAAAGAATAGTAGCCGTGTTGCTAAAGGTGGGTGTTTAAAAACAGACGTATGGACTCACTCTACGATGGTCTCCCTGTCAGCGATGTCCCCCAGAACCATCCGCTGGATGATGCTGTTGTGCTCCTCCTCAGACAAGTTCTTGTGAGACACCAGGGGCGTGTTGAACTTTGTGGCTGGGGAGGGGTCCACTCCCTGCAGCCATGGGTGGGTCTCGATCTCCTCCAGTGAGGCCCTACGCTTTGGGTCCCGCTGCAGCATCCGGTCTATCAGACTGTGGAAGAGAACAGGACTCTTTAGGCATAATTAATCACAGTGGGATCAAGAACAAACAAGAGAAGCATTACAATAATAGCCCTGAAAGAGACGGAATGACTTTCGTCCATTAGATAAGAACATACATGATTTATGTTCAAGTGGGTGGTGTAATAGTTTTAAATGTCTCGCGATGTTTGAAGTTACATGTTCTCAGTCCTCCTGTTATGATTTTGATGGAAGATGTATTCATACAATGATGTATTGAAATAAGCGACTGGTCACTGTCACTGCTCACGAGAACCTTGTTCTCAGTTCACGGCCTGCATATTATTACTTTTATTCATATTCATGGCAAATGGTCATCCGGCTCCCTATGGACCAATTAGGAATGTTATTATTGCATTTCATGTGTTCAAACTGTTTTGATTCTCTAATCTGTGTTGGCGAATCGACAACTTTTTAAAGTCCTCCGTTATGTTCGACTGTTGTTGCGATTGTGTGAGATATGGGATTTTTATACATTTGACCAAATCAAAGCTTAAGTCGACTTGTTAAACATTGGGTTGTTTGGTATGAAATACTTTGTAAACACAGAATTTCATTCTGCAGTCATTATAGAATTATCTGAGTCATAGAACCTTTTCTCAGAAAGTTTAAGTCCATGTAAGGTTCAAAAAAAGAATACATAAAATACTAAATTAGTTAATTGTTTAAATAATTGACAAGTCTGTGATTAATCACTTACTTACACATTTGGTAGCTTCCATTTCATCGATGTGCCCCTTGCAACAATAACAATGACTTTTGGTAGTTCTACATGAAAGGCTCAAACTTTCAACCCAAGTAAACGTGGTAAAGTTGAAGATGCACTTTATTAATCCCCGTAGGGCAATTCATCCTCTGCATTTGACACATCCTGATGCCACTAAGGCTTACGTCAGGAGCAGTGATCGCAGCAGTACAGCCTGGAACCCATCTCCAGATGTTGATTGGTCAGGACTACCAGGGCTGGAGGATTTAACCTACTGTGCATGTTCTTTCAATGGTAGGGGAAACCGGAGCACCCGGAGGAAACCAACGCAGGCACGGGAGAACATGCACACTCCACGAAACACCCTGTTGCGACAGGGATTTTAACCCAGGACCTTCTTGCTGAGAAGCAAGAGTGCTATCCACTCAGCCACCAAAGATCAAAAACGTCATTGACAGGTGAAATATTCAAGGTGTGGGAAAATGCTTGGGTGAGCATTGAACCAGCATCCTGAAAACCGCCTGGTTTATTGGATAAGTTACAGTGAGGCATGAGCAGATGGAGCATTAATACTAAGACACAATCACTGCGACAGACCACAGGGACGATTCTCTGACACTACAGCTGGTCTGCTTAAAGCCCATGCAACGTCGCCAGAGATTGCTCTTTAATAGGATTATGTTGGTATAAAACTGCAGTGAGTAGGGTCAAATTTAATGCAGGGCAAGCACGGTGTGTTCAGGAGCCAGTCAACAAAGCAGTTAACCCTGATCTTAATGGATTTATGACATATTTTTTTGCGTTCGACCAGTTCAACAACATGGCATAGTCACGCAGGATGAGAATAACATTAATAATAATGATAATAATAATAAAGAATAAAGCGCCTTTTTGGTCACTCAATAATGACATCATTCATTCTCTTCAAACACAATGGTGATAATCTTATACTGTAGCTACTGCTGCCCTGGGGCACACCAGTATGTGCCATCGGCCCCTCTAACCACCATCATTCATGTACACACCAAACTCATTCTAGGCAATGTGAGCCGAGTGTCTTCTTAACTAAGGACACAACGACTGGATTTTTTTCACGTCCAGTAATTGCCTTAAAACTGACAGTATTAATGTGTGGTTGATATCAGAAAAATTCAAATAAGTTCAAGTAGGACAAATTATGTGTGTCTCAGCAAATGGGGATATTGCAAATTAGCCTTGGCTATAAATGTTGTGGTGTTTTACAGGTTGATTGTGTACACAAATAAATCAATAAATGCAACATTAACTCAAAAAGCACAAAGCGAACACGAGAACTTTCAGACCTATTATGTACATGTTTTCAGTGGTAAGGGAAAACTGAGCGCCTGCAGGAAACCTATGCAGACACAGGGATAACATGCAAACTGCACACAGAAAGGCCTGGAGGTGGAATCAAACCCAGGACCTTCTTGCTGTAAAACAAAAGCTCTAACCGCTGCGTCACCGTTCCGCCCGTGGCTTGTTTAAACTATCTTTTGTGTAAAGCCTGGAAGATGCAGCAGCAGACTCGATTATTAAAATGAGAGCATATTTGTTTTGAAATGTATATGTTTGTGCACCTGGAGACAGCCTGCCTCTTTGTATATTTATAGTACATTATTATCATTTCTCTTTCTGTCTGTCCTCAAGTGAGACTCGTTTTGTACACGGTCGAAAAGTGAACTCCACATTTCCATAATGACAAGCGTGCGAGTGGTGACGCATCCCCATGTAAATGAAGTATTACGAAATAACTATGACATTAACGAGAACATCGTGTGCGCCTTGCGTGAGATTCGAAAAATGCTAAGATGCTCCGGTTGCATTGAGGAGATGGTGCAGAAATAAACACAGAAGAACCTTACATTATAATCTGGTACCGTGGCAAAGACAAAGGCAGAGTGGAGGAAGCGACGAGAGGCCAAAGAGATGATGAATCCTGCACTAAGAGGTCTGAAAAGTGTATTTGGGGAAGACTACTGGGTCTGGGAACAATGAATAAAGATAGCAAGGCCGCCCACGTCCTACACAGGAGAGTGAGTCAGAAAATACAACAATGACATTCACATTTTGAGCCGTGTCATCCAAAGCGGGTTATGACTTTTGTTGGCATTGCCTGATTTAGCAGTAAGAATTTTATTGCAAAGGTTATGCAAAACTAAACTATAAACAAGATACAAAACAGACAGAAATAAACTGGATAAACTGTAAGAAAGAGGCTGTATGAAGCAGGCGCACTCAACACAACACAAGCACAGTACACACACGATGGAGACACAGGCCCAAACACTCTCTGACCACACACCTCCCTCCCACTTCTCGCTCTGTGTTGAAGTCCTCATTCCTGTGCAATCTCATGTCAATACTTCTTTGTCACTTGGTTTAAATGATAGATGATATGCAGAACTTTTCCTTGTGTTTTGTTTCCTGGACCAGTGTGTAGGACGTTTATGGTATTTGTTCTTAACCACAAAGATATTTTATGTGGGTGGCACAGTGGCCTTTCTGAGTGGAGTTTGCATGTTCTTCCCTACGTAGGTTTTCCCCGGATTCTCCAACACTAAAGACATGTAAATATCCTCCACATCCGGTAGCCCAGACCAAACAGTGCATACAGATGAGTCCAGGGGTCACCACTTCTCTTGACTGAGGAGCTAGAGGTATTGCAGGATGGGTCAAATGCAGAGGACAAGTTCACTTTCACCTCATTTTTTTGAGAGTGGAAGACTAAACTCAGGCGTAAATGTAATTTTGAGGTAGTAATTGTTTGGATTGTGTTTTGTTTTCCGTAAGGCAGTAACTGTTGGTGTTGATTCTTCGCCGACCACAAAGCCTTTCTGAAATATTACGTTGACATTTTCCAATGTAGATTCCTCTCTTCGGTCTCCTCCAGCTATGAAAAGTTAACTTCCTGCGTCTAAAAATACTTTGCAGAGAGGAAACATCGGCCCGGGACTGGAGCAGTGGAACCCAATTATTCTCAAATGTCATTTTGAAGATTTTGCTTTTCTTTTCGAGGTGATTTAAATCACCTCATTTCACCTTACCTAATTAACCAATACAATTATAGTGCATTCATTCAAGCACCAATAGACCCGAGATCCACTTGAAAATGATTGTGTTGAAGGAACGGTATGTTCTTAGTTTGTACTCTTACTGGTCCCTGCATGTAGATCACACACACATCACACACGCACAAACACCCACACACATTTCTGCAGCTCCTCCAGATTTGATTAAAGGCACACCGCGGACTTTGTGACCTAAAGAGTTGACACATATGAGTTATTTTATATGAATACTTGGGCCAATATACAGCGCTTGACACTTGCAATGCTCCGAGCGGGGCTGCCCTCTTGAAATACCGCCCATGTAAGTTTCGAGCAGACGGACCGTCTGCCACCAGGTCACGTGACTTGGAAGAAAGACTTGCTTTACGGCTACAGGCGCTGATATACTCATGGAGCTAAGGCTTTTGCTACTCATTTTTCACCTGCTCGACTCCTGGTCATGGCTGAGGCAAGGAAAAATTTTAAACCTTCGGAGGAGGCTAAAAAGAGGAAACGCGAAAGGGATCGTGCTGTAAGCTGCATGTCTGTATGAGCGCTGCTCTTCACCTGGTTCCTGGATGTCATCGACTGCAAAGATGTCATTCCACGCAGCACGAGCTAGACGCAGAACTCCCTCATCCAGGATATAGAAGTCCATGTGTGGTAGATTACTAATGCAGCGGTCTGGAGGCTGACCACAGCAGAGTCTCTCAATATCTGTAGGCATGTCTCTACAGTTTGAACACACACACCAGTGCATGCTGTCTGAATACACACTCAAAAGACACCGGCTGACTGTTTGTTGACTTTTGCGACAGTGCTGAGTTGCTTGTGGCCACTAGGGGCGCTAAACGTGAAAGTTGCAGGTCTAGCGCCCCTAGTGGCCAAGAGTTACACGGTGTGCCTTTAAGACTTGTACTTTTGAGATGCATATGGATATGTGTGGATGTTTGGGTTTTGTTTTTGTTTTTTATGGATGGGAGTGCATTAATGAACAGCAGATTGTAGCTGTGTAGCTAATTTCCATCTGTAGTCCCACAGTCACAAACACACACTCAGTTCACAATCACTATCGTACACATTTTTAAAAGGTAGGGGAAATCCGAGCACCCGAGGTAAACCTATGCAAACATGGAGAACATGCAAAATACCCACAGAAAGGCCTCGAACCCAGGACCTTCTTGATGTGAAGCATCCCGGCTTGTTCTGTCTGTTCACTGCAGATGACCACTGCACTGAACAGAGCACCACAAGCTGGCAATCCAAATAACATATTTCCAAGTTTGATTTCTGATTGGCTAAATATTTTGAAAACCAAAATAATCAACATTAATAGTGTGGCCATCATTTCCATTTATATCTATTACTACTAAACAGAAATCCACATTCAACTTTGGATCATAAATGCCCTGAAATGATCTGTACATGGACACAACATACAATACATGTAGTTTAAAATCTTACATATTGTCCCTTTAAAGATAATATTAAATTGACACCCACCCACAGTTAAGTACAAGAGAATGTAGCTTGTCCAAATCTGCCCAGAATGTGAAACTAATTTGAGCCAGGATATGTTGCTCAAACTTGGGAAAGGCTCTATGCAGCTGGATTCTCTAACTGCCTCAAGGCTTCATGTCACCATCGGATTACAGTTGTCTGGAATAATGACACATGTCCTCTTGCCGAACTGCACAACTGCTCCGGAAGATTGTCTTTATGTGCACCTACAGTAAATATGATTACAGAGACCCTGCTTAGAGCAAGGTCTACCATTATAACTAAACTGGACTGGATCGCATGTTCAAAATCCGATTCTACTTTTGTATAGTGGCCATAGCTGCATGTGAAAGCCAGATCCCATCAGACCTCTGAATCTAAGCATGGCAGGGCCTGGTTAGTACTGTGATGAGAGACCTCTGGGAACACCAGGGGCCACAGTGGGACAACTGCGGCTGTAAAGTCCCAAACTGTTGTTGTGTCCTTAGGCAAAACACTTCACCCAAAATACCAGAATGAGTCTGGTGTGTGCGTGAATTGTAGGTGGTGGTTGGAGGGGCTGATGGCACATACTGGTTACCTCGCTTCTGTCTGTGTGCCCCAGGGCAGCTGTGGCTAAAGTAGTAATTTCTCACCACCGTGTATGGAGAGAAAGAATGTCTTTGCATGACCAAAAAAGCGCTATACAAAACCGATGCACTAGTGTGAGGATGTGTATTGCGTGTACTCACTCTTTGCAGGTGCTGGAGACTCGGACTGGTACGGTGTATTTACAGTCCATGATCATGGTCAGAGTCTCGCTGTCGTTGGCTTCCTGAAACGGAGGCTGTCCACAGACCAGCATGAACAAGATCACCCCGAGACTCCAGATATCTGCAACACCACAAACACACTGTTATATTATACACTGTAAGGCTTAATCCACTTCTGTAATCATATAAAAAACATTAGTGAGGGTTGACTAGGGATGTACTGATACAGATTTTTTATGTTCAATACCAATCGCTATACTGTGGCTTTAAATACCTGAAAGAATAAAGTGTTTGATTTACTATTTACACTCAATTTGACTCATGTGACGTTACAACATTCCAAAGAGCCTAGAGTTCACTTTGTGGTGGAGGGCAGCTAAAACATCTTTTCTGGTAATGGTCAAAAGTAATACTGTAAGAAACATCTTCTCTGTCAGAACATATCAACTATGGTCTAAATATATTCTCATTAAGGTTACTAGAAGTGCTGACAATATTCAAAAACATATGATGTTTGTTAGCCACTGGGAATAACTAAGGTATAATATGGCGAATCTATAGAGTTGTACTGGCACCCGCGCTCTAACTGAAATTGAATTCCAGAACATGAAGGCAATTGATTGAGTGAAATTGGCACATCAAAACATTTTTGTATAGTCCAAAATCACAGCAGGGCGTCGCAGAATTGTTGATGTGCCAACTGCAGATTAGATCACACCATTTGAACACATAAGAAATGACCGAATACAACACCTAAAACCTTGACCAATGTCCATAAATGACCCTGATCCTTTATCAAAGAAGAGACTGAGATTTATTTTTTTAACAAAATAGGTTGAGTTGGGTTTTTCAACAGGTATTCATCTTCAAAGTTGTGGGTTAATATCAGCAAGAAAATTGATTCAGTTATGAAATATCACACTCTGGTTCCTAGATCCCACCAGTTCCTTCTGTGTGAGACTTAATAGAGACATGACACCAGCGTGCTTATTTTTAGTTCAACTCATCATTAAAGCCCGCTGTGGGCTCAGAGAGGCTTCAGGCGCAGGCACGAAAAAACAGTATTTCTATTACCTATGTGCATCTCTTGTAATATACAGTATATGAGGTAAGAAAAAGGAAAGAAAGGACAAGATATTTAAGTGAGAAGAGAGGCACGACGTGATCTAAAAGGACACACTGAATGCTTGACAGTAGCGCTACATTTCTATTTATTTCTCTATCTTAAAATAAAATATCTAAATATCTATCTAAAAAACTAAAATAGGGCTCTCCAACCTGTAGCCACCAGTAGCTCACCACTCCTTCCAGGTAGCTCGCCAAAGTATTTAGAAATTAGTGTGTAATCTATTATAATTGTATGATTCAGCATTAGGCCCGAGCCCCGAACGGGGAAAGGGCCTATTGTTTTTGCTCAAGAGATGTCAAATTCTGCACTTTGAGCCTTAATTTAACCCCCTGAACATGCATGAAAAGTTGTAAAATATTGCCCAAACATCAGACCTGGTGAAAAATTTGATATGTTGGTGTTTATTTTTATGGGACTCAAAAAATGCCAGAACAGCCAATGGGAGTTTCAGAGGTCAAGTTTGTCGTAGAGCCATGAAATTCGGTACACATGTTCCTCAAGTCAAGATACGACCAAAATGTTATCATGGTTCCGCCCCCTGACAAACAGGAGGCCCATAAATTTCACTGCAAAATGGAAAAATGATCCGCAATCATTTTCATACATGTCGGTTGGAAAGCGAATCCTCCTCGGCCGTTTCACCGATTTGCCTCAAAATCGTTTCAGATCATCTCAACACATTTACCTTCAAAATGACCAAAGGGATTTTTGATCAGTGAAACGTTGTTTGAGCAGCGGAGCGGCAAAATGTGAGTGTTTTTTGACCGTTTTTCACAACATTAATTTGGCTCCTGTTTGCACAAACAAAGTCTGATTTGCGCAAAACTTTAATCAAATGTTCAACTCCAGGGTTTATGTCAGGTGAAAGTGAAATATTTGAAATTGGCCCAATAGCGCTCCCTACAGATTGAGGCAAAGTTTTACATGGGGTGCCAAACAGCTCTAATCATCATATTAATTACAATTTGACTAACGTTCTTCTATAGCAACAGCAACAAATCATCACACGGCGGCCCCAACTCCTTTGCACGGTGCGGCGTAGTGCGGGGGGTTGTGGAGCGGCGCGTTGCGGCTTGGTGCGGGACAGCGTGGTGCAGATCCGCTTGGTGCGGGGCGGCGTGGTGCGGGGCGGCTTGATGCATGGCGGCTTGGTGCGGGGCGGCTTGATGCGGGGTGGCTTAATTCGGATCTGAGTAAAAAGGGTTGGATACAGCTGTGGATACAGCTGTGGATACAGACTATGCAGGTCAAATGTTTGTGCCTTTCAAATAATGCCATCAGAAAGTGGGAATGAGACAGAGATTGTGGTGTATAGGGGAAAGCAAATGCTGCATTGGTGGCTTATAAAGAAAAATATGAAAAAATATTTCCAGATTAAATATTACTCTTGTTGAGACTAGTTTAACAGTATTGTAGAACTTGTTAGTTGAAGGAGAATAAACTACTGTGTGTGACTCGGTGCATAAATTAGTTTGGTAAGATACAGTATATTTGTATTGCTTGTCATTACACAAGCTCTGGAGCCAGACAAGGAGCCCATGGCCATTCAATTTAAACACCCCAGATCAGGCCTTCCGCTTGGAGCGGAGACAGTAAACATCATTTGATATGCATAAGTCCCCTCTGTGTTGCTTGACAAAGTCCATTAATCTCAAAGTGCTCTCTCTTCAAACAAACCTGATACAGCTATGACCCTCCAGTGTAAGGCTCAACAAATATATTTTGACTTGAACGTTTATAGCTCTGCCAACAAAACCAGAACCGATACAACACAGGAATTTAATTAAGATGAGGACCAAGGCAAACAACAAGCGTGGCATAAATTCTCACTTCCAAAGCTGCAGTGACCCGTTTTTTTAACTCTGCGCCATAGATTTCTCAGTTATGTTAAAATCATCTATAAATTGGCAATGAAAGGGAATAAATGAATGAAGTGGCTTGATTAAACTAGGTTCATACGTTTTTTTTGTGTTTTTAAGAAATGCAGTGTTTAAATGTAATCACGTAACAGGGTAGGCCAAACTGACTAAAACAAGGCTATCTGTAATTGCCACAAGATTAAGTAGTAACATTGTAATTAAGACTAAATTCAGAGAATGAGAGGGACTAAATTGGGTCAGGCCTGATTGTGATTGTTAGAAATGAAAGGACAAACTAGGACACGCATCGAATCAGTGCATACTCCAGATCCAGGAAGGTAATTCACACATGGACAATTATATGAAGTTTACTGCATTGAGGGATATTAGGATCCAGAACCAATTTGAAAAACTTAACTGGCTGTTTGTGTTTTGAGCATTCTTTTAAAGACCGACGGACCCCAGGAAGGGTAGCGGCCTATTTGGTGGCAGCTAATGGCAATCCAAATAAACAAACACATTCAAGTCCAAGTTAGTTTTGATCGTCTCCATTCTCATGCACGGCTGCATCTCCACGTTGCCATTTGTGCTTTTTGGCTTTGGTCCAGTCTGACAGTGTCCTCTACTGTCCCACATCGCTCTGGATCACAAACTCGCTACATCAACATTCACAACGAGAGCCATGTCCCAGAGGTATTGTATTCCAATCCCATCTACTCATGTCCACTTACAGGCTGTGAAATATAAAGCCAGATACAGGAGGACGCACACTGTGCATGCAGCAATGCTGTGACAAAGGTGACAGGAGGGAAACAGGAGAGTTTTTATTCTGAAATGTTGAGGAGGAATTACACAAATGTACACACAATCAGCTTTATCTTATACACAATGTAGATTTGCAAATTAACTCATGGGGCAAAAATATGTTCCTTCAAAACTGATGTGTACAGAATAGCCTACTACTGAAGTAAAGGTTAAGGTTCAAAGATGAATTTACATGAAGTAGATCGCCTTATATGGGTTTGCTGTGACAATATATATATATAGAAGGTCGTAAACCCAACAAGTGCACAGCACAAATTTAATTGCACAAATGTTTACTCAAGGTGGACCAACAAAATCCCTCTGTAACTTCGCAACATGAAAATGCAGGGGTGCAGTATTGAAAAACCCACCTTGTCACTTCATAGTCCTTAGTGTAGATTTGAAAAGCCCAAGGATATGAGTGCAGTTTCAGACAGAGCGGGGCAGATTAGACACAGCTCAGCAAACCTCAACAAAACGGAATGCCTTTGGCCACAGTCATTCACATGAATACATTTTCTTCTGTTGGTACGACTCAAAAAGTCTGCTTTGGCCTGAAATGTGATGTGTATTGAAACTGAGTTTTATAGAGAAAACCAATGTTTGATTAGGTTTAAGTTAGTGTTTGTGATACTGCACGTCAAATTGGGACATTGCAAACAATACGCTGATCAGGGAAATTATACTCCTAACAATTCTATTTAGCACCAATCAACACAAGCAAATATTTGTTGACTTCTTGTTTAATCTCAGCTAGGGACTCTTCCCAAACCACATGAGACAAGTTTCAGACACTCACAGTAGCTCAGATCATTGCCTATATAGGCAGTATTCCTCTCTCTCTAAATGTCCAATTCAAATCCTTCACTATCAGGTCTTTCCTTGGGTTGGAAAGCCTCCAGTCATTAGCCCCGCAGATAGTGAGGTGTGCTTTTATTTCACCAACCCACAGCAGAGGTGACATGCATAAGACACAGGTTTATTATTATTATTCTTAAATAAATGTCCCAGCTAATTTTTGTTGATGAATTCTGATGTAATAAACAATATATATTTCAATATATTTACACGATAAAAAAACCCAAAAACTACTGCAATAAACAAATATGCCAAATTCCAAAGTGTATTTTTTTAATAATTTCGATAAAATATTATAGCAATATTTTTGTGCTTCACCAAAAAATGCAATATCCAATGAACTGCAATCAAGCACAACATGTATCACATTGAAATGCAGAATGGCACACATTCATATCGTAGTATACGTAGCAATAACCACCTCTTCAAGCTTTGTCCAGCTTTATTCTGAAACACTGAATAAGTTGACAG